AAGGAAGGAAGGAAGGAAGGAAGGAAGGAAGGAAGGAAGGAAGGAAGGAAGGAAGGAAGGAAGGATTTTCTTTTGTTGTAAAGTGCTATTGCAGCTGAAATACTATGTCTCAAGAAACACCATTTCACAAAGGTTTTTCCATCCAGAGTTGTCATACTTCATGTATTTTGTGACACAAGAAAAGGTCACTGAACAAACGAAGTATTTTATTTGAAGTACATTAATTGAAGGATAACATTTTGTCGGATGTAATATCCCTATAATGATCCTTGCCAAAAAAAAAAGAAAAGAGTAAAAATTAACAGATGGCACTTGTAATTAGCCCTCTGTGCATTTAAATTTTTACAGCACCATATTTTAAGATAACTTAGCCATTTCAGTGACATCACTGAAATAAGCACCATTCTAAATATTATTGGTTTTTTTATTATATGATTTAAGAAGCTTACTTTAGGAAGCTTGATACTTTCCAGGTACATCAATCTTATTTCATTGATGAAATTCCAAGAAAATTCTTCATCTACCTTGAGGTTCTACTGTATTAAATATGTAAATTATCACTTTTGGGGGGAACATTTATTTTCTCAGGATATCCAATTTTTTAAAGTACCTTTGAGATAACTATAACTGTCTCATAACTTTTTCCAGTATATCTGAAACTTTTAAAGCATTTTAAATGTGTTATTTTATTGTATTTTTAACTGAATTTTCATCCTAATATGAACTACAGTAACCTCACCAGAGTCACTATAAAGTAGTATTTCATTTTTTATGGTCAAGCCAGGATGAAACTCATTCAGAAAGCAAAATATTTCTATAACTTATTCTCAAAACATTTATCCACATTTATTTAATCAGTTTAATAACTGTCTCTAAAAATGTTGTTACCTGTTCCATTATATATGGTTTCTTTGTAAAAAGCAAAGATAAAAGAGTGGAGGGAGCAGAGGACATGCAAAGAAGTTGGATATTTCAACGATATGAACATTTTATCGAAACTACAGTTAAAGATTTTTATGTTTGTTTTATTGGAGAGTCTTTTTCATTCTAAGATAGAAAGTGCATGTTTATTTTTATATTAAGAACAACATAAATACACTGTCATTGTCGTTTTAACAGTGAATTTACTTATTTTCTACATTTTTATTTTTTTCTATTTACAGCAGCCATTTTTCATCAGGTTATAGCAAACTGGAAAGCCACCATTAACTCTTCCAAGAGGAAGGCTCTACCTGATTCTGCCTCTCTCCCAGTTGTCATCCAACAGCTAATTTACTAGGGTAGTGTTGTCCAAACTTGGCCACTTTAAGATGAGTGGACTTCAACTCCCAGAATTCCCCAGCCAGCCATGGGGAGTTGAAGTCCACTCATCTTAAAGTGGCCAAGTTTGGACAACACTGTACTAGGGTATAGTAAGGGGAGAAATAAGAACTAAGGCCACTCTATCAGGTCAGATAAAAGATGAGCAATTTTGTGTTCCTCTGTTCTAAGTTGCTTCTAGTCATCATAGCAATCAAATAATGATGGATTTAAAACCATCACATGCCATCCTTTACACATTGCACCAGGTTATATGTCTGATATAAGAAAAAAAATCTGGTTTAAATCTATTGCAAATATTCAGTTTTGATTCTAAACAGAAACACAGAGGAGCAATTGTTCAAGTTCACCTCAAAAGCTGAGGAAAATTCTCTGTACTTGAATAGACCATGAAAGTGAAACGCTAACTGCAGAGGGACAAACTGATTGAAGCGTGTGCCTTAATATATCTATCATATTAAGGCATAAACCAAACACCAAAGGCAGTCTTTTTGTCACTGGAATATCTTCTTGAACTACATTCATGTTGAAAAAGTAAGTATTTATGAAACCTTTTTACATTTCTTTCTATAGCCTTATTCAACAGAAAGGACATTTCCTTACACTTTTGTCAGGATCTTTCCTCATCTTCTCGAACGGAAATCCTGTCCTTTGGGTGGAAGGGTGTAACTGCATTACACTCCAAATAATCAACATCAACTCTTCTCCCAGTATTGCTTGACATACACATTTCAAACCAAGGTTGCCTCAGAGCCCACCCAGTTTCAGTAATTTTTAAGTGTACAAACATGTAAACATTGTCCCAAAGAGAATCAGAGATACAGAATTGTCTCAGGAAGAAAAAGACCACAATTCCAAAGAAAATATATTTGCCAAACAGAGAGAAATTTGCCAATACAGCTGGCACTCTGCAAAACGGACTCTTCCTTGAGTGCTTGGGGGTACGTCTGCCAAAAATGCTTCAGCTAAAGATATGAGTCCCTCGCAGGAGTATTCAGGTGCTGAGATGCTCATATTTGCTAAAGCTTCTTGGCCTGTGTCTAAGAAAGGAGGTATGCTTCTCCCAGACTGAGGGATGACATACCAATTGTCAGCCCTTTGAGGCAGACCAAGACATACAAAAAGTTCACTTTATTGATACAGGCCATAATAACAGAATCTTGAAAGCCTGACAGTGTTGCTCCTTCCCTCCCTCTTAGACCAAAGAGAATCAAGGTGGCACAATCTTGAGTTTCTTTCTCACATCTTTCTGTTGTCCTGTTGAAGTCTTCTCAACAGTTGCTGCATATTTTCTTCAAGGCCATTTCTGTATTCTTCTACATCAACAGAGGACAAAATTGCTTGTGGCATCTTCAACATTCTTCTACCCATAAAACCCTTGTGCTTACATTTTTTCTTCTCTTTCTTTCCTCATTCCAAAGTTGCTTCCCCCCCCCCCCAATTTGATAAAAGCCAATTTCCTTAGTGATCCTTTTTTAATCTATTTCCAGACCTAACCAGGCTTATATAATCATGGCCTAAATTCTCACATTTCTATCCAGTCTTAGGCAAACATATGTTTCACTTCTCCTTTTTCAGCATTATTTATATTGCTTGCATTTAATTGTGTACATTATTTTTTTATTTACATTGTCATTTTAAAATAATATGAGCTAAACCATTACTTTCATGAATCATTTTTCTAACTTCGAAAAAAAGTGTTTGAATAGTTTGATTCTGCATATTTGCATCTATCTGTGTTTTCAACAGGTAACTCCTCTTTTAAAGAAACTTGTGAGTTTAGTCATTGTGTAAAATGGCCAAAATCAAGGCTCTCTTAAAACATGTTCAGGGTGGGTTTCTAGCTAAAGAATCTGGTACAGAAGAGCCTATTTTGCATTTCCACATCCTTTACAACATACATAGGTCAAGTGAGAGTTTGGCATTATGTTTCCAGTGTAACACAGTGATCAAACAAATCTGAAACAGATTTGATCAGTATATATATGGCTAAATGGCGGTGAGACATAAACCACAACTGTCAAAACAGGAATGGCAACAGCTTCCAATTTCAGTTTTTATGTTGCAATGTTGTCATTCTCTAACTGTGTCAAACCACTGTATTAGACATGCCTGCCAGGTTATTCAATCAAGCAGCCTGATTTTCTGATGATGATTATATACAGTATCATCTTCATGATATAGTCTATGCTATGAGATGTAGCTCTTATCCTTAGTCTAATATTTTTTAAGGGTGACAGAATTCTATAAAACCACAAGTGTGAACACGCGGTTAGGAAAATTAAATCATTTTATAAATGAGGTACGTTATTTTGCAGCCAATTCATTTTAATCGCTTATAATTAATTCAATAAGTTTTTTGTCCTGGTCCTTTCATTTTTTGTGGGTGCCTTTTGCACATGGGCATGTGTAAGTATGTAAGTCTGTATGAACAGCAGGAGTTTTGTCTGTTTATAACTTTTTTTTTCTGTTTAATGCTCCTTTTGGGAAGAGAGATATATCTTAAATTCTGAGTCACGTTCCTTCCAATAAACTTGATAAGAAAACTTAATTCAAAATAAGAACTTCATTTAACCACCAAACAAGGATCTTATTTAACAACATTAATAACCAAACAGCTGTGGCTGCTCACAATTTATGGTATTGCGCAGAAGTAGTTCTATTTGATCGTACAGATAAATCTACATTTTACTACACTAGGATGTTTTGTAATGGTAAAGCCATGGTACTGGATTTATTAACCTGCTCTATGTCCTCCATATTCTGAGGAACTCTAAAGCAATACTAATTCCTGAAACCTCTGAAATTTCATAGATTCCAGAGAAGGTATCTTAACTTGAAGTGCCTGTAATGCTGATATTACTTTATTCTTATTTTGAGTCCATTACTGTACATGTTTTCCACAAAGTCTGGCCTGCTTGTCCTATATACAATCCACAGTGATACTGCTGGCAGATGATTGCATATACCACATTAGAAGAAGAACATGTGAAAGCACCTCTAATCTTCTGTATGAAGTTGCTGGGTCCTGTAGTGGTGCTGCTGGTATAAAATTGGGAACAAAGTAGACATCCGAGTTTGTTGCAGGGTCTGATTCCCAGGTTAGCACCATCATTCTGTTGTTCCTTGCTGCTTATGAAAGTCTGCTTCAGGTTGGATGAATGCAGCCTAAAGCAAAGCAGGTACATTATATTATAGCTTATTAATAATGCTTCTGAGGGGCTTGAGCTATGGATTGTAGGTAACAAGTGGCGTTCTGTTCCATTTTTGTGGTCTTTCCTTCCTGGGAATTGATCTGGCTCTATTGATTTGCCTACTGATCTTGTTGGGTGGGTAGTTCAATCTCCTGAATGCCTGGTTTAATTGTATCAGATGAACATCTTTATCAAGCGGGTAAGAACAAATGTGGTTGTAGTATACACCTTGGGTACATTCACTAGATTTGGTGATGACTTCTGAGTGGAAGCTGGAAGCATGTAGATATGCACGTCGATCTGTTCCTGTATAACATGGGGCTTATGTATTAATTGTATAGTCTTACCACAATGTTAACAAAGTGGTCTTCTTCTGTAGATAGACTGAGGCTGAGGTGGATGGTGAGGTGGAAGTTTATGAAGAATTAATGGAATTTGATGAAAGATTCTTTTCCATGGGTCTAGATGAGGAAAAATTTGTTAGTCTGCTAGATACTACCAGACTGCTGATTTTTGTACCATACACTAACACAGCTTTCAACATTATGCAATAGTAAGCTTCAAGATGAATATAATGCCTAGATTATGTGTGTGTGTAAAACTCACTCTCTCTTTCACACATATACACATACACACATGTATATATGACATCCAAATGTTTATTCCTCTTAGATATTTTAAACCATTGATAAGTTGTTGAAAAATTTTTAGTGGGATGGAGATTCCAACCCTCCACCCCAGTTCTCATTATCTTCCAGGGGGCAGGGGTGGGAGCTTAATTTTCAATATTATCATTTATTTATATTTTGATATGTTTCTTTTTCAAAAATCATTATAGGTATAATTCAGTGTTTTTATTATTTGACCTCCTTAATATCTTGAGCTTCTTCTTTTACTGAAGATTTAGATTTTTTTCAGCATTACAATTTTGAAAGATTTGGGGATGGAAAATTAAATTTCTTTAAAATTCATATGAAAAACTGATATTTTAGGAAATTCTCATTTGAAGATTTCAGGTCAAATATTTCTGTTTTATTTTGTTTAGGGAAAATGTGGTCAGGGGGAAAGAATATTAATATTTAAACAAGCTTATTGTTAATCATTCTTTCAAAACATTTAATGAGTTGCAAGAAAAAATGGGGCTGCGTAAATCTGCCAGATGGAAAAATATTCAGTAGAACAGTCTCCCCCAATAATGAAAAAATGGGTGACCAAACAGTTAAATGAACTAAATTAAAAAGCAGTAAAGAAATACAACATAGGTTTCAGCCATAAGCTGAGCCTGCTCTTAAAGAAAATTTTTTTTTTTAAATTATAAAATGTTTTAAAGGAGGGTCCCTGCACTAATGATATAGGAAATTAAAAAGGGGAGCAGTATATAAGTGCAGCCACTAATAATATAGTTAAGGCACTGTGCAAAAGATTCCAAACCCCAAACTTAAATATTAGTGGGGGGGAAGCCCCCTTTTCAAAATGACTGTAAGCAAAAACACACCAGCAGTCTTCTAAATATAGAATTAAATATGGGGGGGGGGAATCATGAGGATTTTAAAATTTGGCTCTTAGTGGAAGGAAACAAAAATAATATAAGTCTGCTAACTGACATCAAACTTTGAAGGCTGGAAAAAGTGACAAATCAAATGGGGAAACTGGTGATGAGGCCAGTAAGATTGCTACTCACCAACTTCAAATTGAAACACTAATTAGAGACAATATGCAACCAAGACAGAAGAATTAGAGAAATGTACTTAACAAACATTCTAATTAAAGGTTAGTATATTTCTGATAAAGTTAGAAAGAACAAATCTTCTCAAATTGTCTAAACAACATTTAAATAATCTCTCTACAGTTTCCAACTATAGTGGTTTCTCCATCTGGAAAGGTTTTCACTTCCACTGTGCCTCAGTGATCACAATGAAATTGTGAAAAGAGACACTAAGCTCAAAATAGCGAATAAAACAACATACCCTTGCTATTGCAAAAAAAAAACATCAGTAAGCGTCAAACTGTTCTCAACTTTCTTCTTTCTCAATACATAGGAAAATACTGAAAAATTCACTAGCAATCTGCAGTAAACCATTGCTTACAGGTAATCCTTGACCTATGACCACTCACTCAGCGACCGTTTGAAGTTACCACAGCGCTGAACAAATGGTAGTTACAACCAGTCCTTGGAGTTCCGGCCATCCCAGAACCCCCACAGTCACATGTTAGTGATCTGGGCACTTGGCAACTGGTTCACACGACCAGCTGCAGTGCCCCATGATCACAATTGTCACTTGTGACCTTCCTTGCCGGCTTCCCCAGAAAGTCAATGGGGAAGCCAGTGGGGAAGGTCGCAAGTCGCTGGGGTAAGTCTCCCCACCCATGCATCCTCCCTCAGCCCCTCTTGTGCTTGCACCACGCTGGCCACTTGCACCTCCCTCACACTCTCATGCACACCTCACACCTTCACGCACCTCCACAACCCACGCCTTGAACCCTCATGCACCCTCCCTGTCCCTCCCTCGCATCCTCACACACCCTCCCTGTCCTTCCCCCACACCCTCACGCACCCCCTCACTCCCTCCTCCACCTAGCAGCAGCCACTTACCTGCCTGCAGTCCTCGGACTTGCAACTTCCTGCCAGCTTCCCCACTGACTTAGGTTGTGGGAAACCAACACAATGTTGCCTTGCCTAACAACCGTGGTATTCAGTTAACAACAGCAACCAGGACTGCCATCACTAAGTGATGCAGTCGTGCTTTATGACTGCATCGCTTAGCGATGGAAATTCCGGTCCCAATTGCTGTTGTAAACTGAGGACTACCTGTACTATTCCAACCAACTTACACATACTAGAAACAGAACTATTAGAATTGTCCCTCCACGAGCAAAGCACAAAAGAAGGAAGTTAACAAACACGAACCTCACCACTGCACATTTCTACAGCACACTATTTGGAAAATTTAACTGGGGGGGGAGAGGGGGATCCAAGAAAAAACAAACTTGACAAAGGTTCTTGATCATAAGAACTGTTGCAAACAGAGATCTATCAGCTTAAGTGCACATGTTTATGTTTCAAAAGCCTTTACTCCACTACCTTTACTTAAATTGCAACCATTTCTTGTAATTACATTCTAGTAATAGTGCTGTAAAGATTACAAGTAACTTCTAGTCTAATTTTCTAGACTAGACTAGACATTAATTTTATTTAAACAGGAACAGGTTTTATTCAAATGCTTAGGATCCATCCTTTTACACGTGATTTTTAATTTAAAAAATAATATTTAAAAATATTTAAAACATTCACAAATATTGGGAAGATGAAGGAATAGAAAAATAGAAATTTTATAATCATGAATTTCTTGGAGAATAAATAATCATAGTAAAAAAAAATAGCTTTTTTCCAGAGCTCTCCAAATGCATTCCTTAACCTTTGGATTTAATGCAGCATGGTATATAGGACATGTTTTCTTCCTACCAAGGCTATTAGCAGAACAGAAACCATGTATTTTATAGTGTTTCAATAAATATGAGAGAATACATTTTTGATATAAAAATCCACGTGGACTTAAACAGAACTGCATAACCATTAAGTTTTTCTACTACCAAGATTTAAATAAATAACTAAAAAGTGTTATTTTCCAACAAAATCTATCATAATCACATATTTAGAAGAGGAAAACTACATTAAGGACAAAGTATTTTCTTAATTTTTTTGCAATGGATTTGCAAACTTAAAAAGTGCATAATTTTTAGCATTACAAGATCATTTCTAATCCTATCTGAATCATAAACACCATACCCCCCTCCTCCCATTTTTTCTATCCCATGTACCTGAAGTCTGGTATTCATTTCCAAGAAATAGAAATTTTTTTTTGAATCCACAAGGAATTCCACTGTTCCAGCAGATGAGTATTTTACAGCTTTGGCAAGAGCTACAGCCTGTTCTCCCATAGCTTTACGTGTTTCAGGATCCAAGAAGGTGCTATACAGAAAGGGGGAAAAAAACTTTCAAAAGAAATTCTACAAAAGTAAACTTGACTATTTTAGAAACTGAAATATAAAAGGAAAATGTAACAAAGGAACAAAACAAAACCCCCACCCCACCAACGCTGGCAGGGCATGTCACAGTATATAAACAGAGAGCAAACCCCATCCCATTCTAGCACTGAAGATGTTACCTAGCCGGGTAATGAAACAACCCCCACCCCACCAACGCTGGCAGGGCATGTCACAGTATATAAACAGAGAGCAAACCCCATCCCATTCTAGCACTGAAGATGTTACCTAGCCGGGTAATGAAACAACCCCCACCCCACCAACGCTGGCAGGGCATGTCACAGTATATAAACAGAGAGCAAACCCCATCCCATTCTAGCACTGAAGATGTTACCTAGCCGGGTAATGAAACATTTCCAAGAAAAGAACCAAGCTCAGAGAACCCCAAGGACTCCACAAAATGTAAAATAATTATTATGCTTGCTTAACAGACATTCACAGTATTATAGACTATTTGCTGAATACACAGTACACATTCCCCCAAGGGACAGATGCTTTCTGTCACATACCCAAAAGCAGATACCCCCAGCACCTTTTTCTTTTAGAGGAAGAGAGGAAGGCTTGGTCATTTTAAAAACTACAGGCAGAATTCTGGGAGAGGCTGGGAACTGAGGCCAGGAAAAGCATGGACTAAGACTGTTTCTTACAGCCTCGAATTAAAGTTTGATATTTCCAAGATGTATTAGTCTAGGAGAATTGAAACAAAAGAACAAGTGCTTCAAATTAATGCTATTTATGAAGAAATGGGCAAAATGTTCAGCCAGTAATTGCACTTTAGGTTTCTTTATTATTATTTTTATTGAGAGTTTTTACATAGATAAAAGCCAAATTCAGAAATATATAAAGAGAAAACAAGAAAAGAAAAAGCGCATAAAACAATACAGTTAAAGAAAGAAAGAAAAAGATAATTAAAGAAGCTACTTCCGCCCTTCTTTATAATAAGTAGTCCTTTGCGTATGAACTTTTATGCAGTTCATCTGTGAACACAGAGGTGGCTCTGTAATCCCAGGCTGGAAGTGCAAAGTCTAGCACAATGGGGGCACTAGCAGTCCATTGTTACAATAACTGTAGGTGTTATTCTGTGACACCACTCACAATTTTCCATCAGTTCTTGGTGGCACCTGTCTTCAAAGCCAGTGGAGGCTTCATAGCACAGGGCTCGCCGGCGGGTTCTGTCAGCAGCCGCAGCTTCTAGTTCCCTTGGCTGGATGTCACAGTGGCGTAAGGTTTTCTTCACAGCATCTTTGTAGCACTTGCATGAATGACCTCAAGGTCTCTTTCCGATCTCCAGTTCACCATAAGCAACTGGCAAGGCATATGGTGGTCACTCATTCTGATGATATGTCCCACCCACCACATCTGGTGTTTCTGTTGTGCCCTTCTTTACAGCACTTACAAACAAACTCATTATCCCGCCTCCCTCTTTAACATTACAATAGTCCCTTCAGACCCTTATTCAATTCTTTTTCAATCATCAAATCCAGAAATTATCATTTCACTTTTTCCATTTTCAGCAAAAAGTCCATAAAAGGTTTCCAGTCTTCTATAAAATACTTATTGTTTTGTCCCTGACCAAACATGTCAGTTTCGCCATTTCTGCTAATTCTGCCATCTTCACAATCCATTCCTCGGTTGTGGGTATTTCAATATTTCTCCATCGTTGTGCATATAATAATCTTGCTGCAGTTACCATATATAAAATCAGTCTTCCATAAGTCTTTTCTAATTGATTATCCATAAGCCCCAATAAAAAAGGTTCTGGTTTCATCTCAATATTAATCTTCAAAATTCTTTGTATCACCATATGTATTTGTTTCCTTTTTTTGTTGTTGTTGCTTTTTCACAAGTTCATCATGCATGGTAAAATGTCCCTTCACATTTTTCACATTTCCATCATTGACTAGAAGTACCTTTATACATCTTAGATAATTTTTCTGGTGTCATATACCAATGGTACATCATTTTATAAAAACTGTCTCTTAAATTATAACACAATGTGAATTTTAGTCCTTTTATCCATATTGTCTCTCATTGATCCATCTGTATATTGTAACAAAATTCTTCACCCATTTTATCATGTAATCTCAATACAAGTTTATACATTTTTGCAATCACATGTTCTTCATTCATGCACAATTCATTTTCAAATCCTATCTTATGTTGTTCAATCCTCATTACCACCTTTTTATCTATACTAAATCTTTCTCTTAATTGTGCATATGAAAACCATTGAAAACTAAATCCCTTTGCAGTTAATTGTTCTCTTGACTTCATCTTAAGTTGTCCATCTTCTTGAATTAATAAGTCTTGATATGTTAACCATTTCTCCTTGCCTGCTGTTTATTTTCTATAAAATGCTTCCTGTGCTGAGACCACAGTAATTGCACTTTAGTTTCTGTGCTGTTAAGTCTTATTGTCTTTATATCTATGTATAATTTTGTATAATTTCAGCCTTTAGCCATACTCAGTCTGTTACACTTGCCATCTTTTATCTTTTATTGGTTTTATTGTAATTTCTTTGCCTGATTGTTGTGAGCCACCCAGAGTCGTTGGGAGTCAGGCAGCACATGAATTTAATAAATTATTGTTGTTGTTGTTATTCCCAATTAGCATTTAATCATACTTTTACAGGCTGGATATGAATATATTATTTTAAGCTACAATCCTCTTGTGGTCTGGTACAATTTTAAACTTGCTCCAATTTCTTTACAGATACCTTTTTTAAAATTTGTAGCAAAGCAATGGTGGCCTACTCAGAGTACTACATTTTCTTTTATCAGTTTCTTTTCAGCTGTTTTCCCATGAAACTGCTTTTGTACCAATGAAATTTCGCCAATAAATGTTTGCATTGTTATATTTACACTGTAAAAGGACTATTTTTCATTATGTTGTTTTCTTCTTCCAATAAAGTTTTATTTTATTTCTCTCTTATTAGATTAGTTGATCTCCCATGAAAGGGCTGAATCCTACAGCCACATGCCTGCATGCTGTACAACTAGGATACGGCTTTATAGAAATTATTTTAACTTTTGTCTTTTGAGCTTTTAATTGCTGGAAAGACCGCACACTGCATATGAGTTCTGTCTGTTACACCCCAAGGTTAGCAATAGGAGTGATTAGTTAAATAATATTTTAATCCTTTAAAATTCAAACACCATACAGGTAGTCCTCACTTAATGACCACAATAGGGACCAGAAAATTGGTTGTTAAGCAGGGTGGTCGTTAAGCGAGTCACCACCTGACCAGATCCAATTTTATAACCATTTTTATGATAGTTGTTAAACAAATCACTGCAGTTAAGCAAATCATATGGTTGCTAAGAGAATCACGTAATCATTAAATGAATCCAGCTTCCTCAATGGACGGTTTCTGATGGAATTCATTTAACAACCATGTGGTTTGCTTAGCGACCATGTGTTTCACTTAATGACCATCATACAAGGGTTGCAAATCACGATCACATGACCGCGGGGCGGTGGTATGACAGTTTGCAACTATCGTAAGTGCGAGTACAGGCCGTAAAGCACTTTTTCTGAGGCTGTCGTAACTTCAAATTGTCATTAAATGAACAGTCATTAAGTGAGAACTACCTATAATATTATTCCACCATATAAACACATCAGTGAAACTTTCATTCACTACTCTTACTAAATCACTACAGTGAGTTTAGAAGAAAATATAAGGCACATCAGTAATATACATTTTAAGAATTTTAAGAATCATAGCTAGTGAATTAAGAAACACCTCCTATTACTTGAGTTTATGATTTAGAATACAAAAGTAAACAATATCTCCAGTTTGCAATGTTTTATGTAGCCATTCACAGTCTGCTTGTTTTTCTTTGTTATAGACAAATGAGTAAGCCATTATAGCAGAAAGTTCCAGAGAAAAATTTGAAATGAAAACCCCAAAGCTTCAAACTGAACTGCCATTTCAACTTTAGCCTACAACACTGTATCTGACATCCAATGACAGTAACAGCTTGCATTTTAAATTATTGTCTCAACTTACCCTAAAACTGAAAGTTTTAATTTTCTGTTTTTCTTACTTTGATTCATCTGTTCACACAGCATGGTTCCTCCTCTCTCCACCCTGGGCACAGCTGTTTCTTCTGCCTTGGAGTGCAGTTGTGAAGCCCTCTTGGGACTCACTCTCAAGACTGCTCCCCAGCCTGCAAGTCTCCTCACTACAGGACACTAAATATATCATCTTCCAGAGGCCAAAGGCTTATCAACTCAGGAAAATATATATCCTGGCAATGCCTTTTCATTGTATTCTGACAGTACTTCAAAACACTCAAAGTTTTTATTTACCTTTGCAAATGTTCACAATGTTTATCTACCAGAGCATGTGTGACACATAAAGCAGTACAGAATATACAGATTTTTTATTTAAAAAAGTGTAATCTCACAATCTGTCTCTATTCTCATCTACCCCTACTCAATGCAAGGACCAACAAGTATTTTATTATGCTTCTTATATTAGTGCAGTAAATCAAACAAATGTAATAATCTGAACAGCAAGAGAATCAAAGAATAAACTGTGCAACAGAAGGTACTTCCTGTGTTCAAAATGGTTTTAAAATCTGTGTTTATTAAGCTCCTATAAAGGAGCTAGGCAACATACAGGAATAAAGATAAATAAAGTCAGTGTGCCTGTTCATCATCTAAGAAAATAAAACACACTAGGGAAGGAAGGAAAAACAGAGAAGGGACATAGCAGTTGGATAAATAAGAGATTATTTCAAAAGGATCTGCAAAATTCACAATACTCTTGTTTTCCTGAAACATCGCTGCTGCATATTCAATCTTTACCTCAAAGCAGTAAAACAAATCATATCTTGGTGAACAATGCACACACACAGAGTGAATTTATGACATATTCACCTCCTTCTTCATTAGTACGTACAAGCCTACATTCAGAGAAACTTTTATGAACATACACATAAGGGCAATTCTGCCGTGCATCAGCAATTCCCTGGATCAGGAGGGAGTCAATAGCTGAGTAGAAGCAAACATGATTGTTTAGACTGAAGGAGAATATAGTGCATGACTATGAAATGTATGTAAAAACTAGGAATCTCTCTGAGTAATCAGTTCACTACCAGATTGTAATACAATGGGGTGATTTAATAAAGCACTAAATTTTTATTTATCACAGCAGTGAAGCCTTTATGAAATACAGCATCCATATAATGCTATGGGAAAACCACATACAAATGTTTTCTGTTATCTGAAATGAGATTATTCCATATGTTACTAATTATTATTAAAGGTGCTCTAGCATTTGAAATGCTAAAATATAATACTTTTATTCTGAAGGAATCAGAATCCAGAAAGAGAACTCTCTCCCATCAAAGGATTTTTCAGGCACAAAGCATTATCACCAAATAATATTGCAACCATTAAAACAGCAGTTTACTCTGTTTAAATTTTTTAAAAGCTCATGAAAGGACTTCAGATTAGCAAATAATTCACTGATACTCACTTTCCAACCACTATTAAGATTATATTATACAATTCAATGTTAGTATGTTATGGAAGTTTCTTTCTGCCCATAAAATTGTGTAGTGCACTCACCTTGGTGCCTCTTCAATAACTTTCTGATTTCTTCTCTGAATTGAACATTCCCTTTCATTCAGCCATAATGCATTGTCATGTTTGTCAGCCAATACCTAATAAGAAGTCAGTGTTAATTGTTAAAAAAATATATTTATTCTTTCTCTACTTCAAGTAGCCTGTTTCAATGAAAATATTTCATTAATGGCACTACAGTGTATTTATCTGAATTAATAATCTCTCCATTCTTGTTCTGTCCAAAAAAGGAAAAGAATAAATGTTACAGTTCTATTCAGTTTAGGTTTTTTTTACCTGAAAGGAATAAAAAGAGGGAAATACGCTGGAAGCTGGGTTCAGGAGTTCCAGCCAGAATATGAAGTCTGAACAGGCTTCAGCATTTTGCTGAGTCAAGATTCACAGTGTCAGAACACTAGGCATGGCCATCCAGAGAAGGGTGGGGAACAGATGATGAATGAATATTGCAACATTGTGATGAAAGATCTGCCCCTTTTATACATGTGCGGTGATACCATATACAGGTATGTAAGGGTACCAGTGCAACACTGCAATTCTTGTTTTGTCATTCTGAAGACATTAAGCAGCTGGAATATCCCCTACCAATTTCCATCTCCATGGATTTAGTCCCAATGAAAAAAATGGATTGTCAAGTTCAAAAAATGCGCATTGATAAAAATGGTCAAGAAAGTAATGCATATCTTTGGATATCTGTTACTTTTTTCCTCTTCCCACCCTCTTTTTAGGGGTTGATGATGGCTTTGTTTACCACCCTACCTAATGAAAAGCCTGAAGAGTTTGAAATCTTTCAGACTGTTTTGTGACCCTAACTATGGTGGTTTAAAAGGCATTGTCCTTATATGGATTCCGGAATTTTTCTTGCGGCCAAAATGATTATCTTTTCTTTTCCTGTGACAAGGGTATCAGATTTAGTCATTTAACAGTAGGCTCTTACATCAGAAAATGCCTGACCCCTCTGAAGCAAGTCTTCAAAGGTAGAGGAACTACAGAAATGAGGGGGAAAGAATTTCACACAAACACACAGAATACACAGAATCTCAGGATCCAAGACAATTATTTCTATAAAACATATATTCTTTTTCTCTCCCAAATAACTAATTACATTATTGCTACAGTTCAAAATAATTCAGTGTTCTATTTTAAGACAGCTATATTTCTTGTTTCTCTCTCAGTTTAGTTTTTAACTTTATTTAAATATTTTATCAAATATTATTTTTGTTCTGAATTAACTAAAATTCAGGGTAAAATTCTGTGCTTGCCTAACAGCTTAGACATAACAAGTCAACATTTTAAGAAAAGAAGTCAAAAGCACATTATTTCAAACACTTTGTCTAAGTTATGTGAAATTCAACTAAAGCACTAATTTTACTAGCAGTTTACTATGTAGTCTGGGGAAACAGATACCCTGGTAAACAAATCCAGCATAAGAGCATCAATAAAAAAAGAGCCAGTTTGGTCTAGTGGTGCCAGGCTAGAATCCAGGAGATTGTGAGTTCTAGTCCCGCCTTAGGCATGAAAGCCAGCTGGGTGACTTTGAGACAATCATTCTCTCTCAGCCCAACCCACCTCACAGGGTTGTTGTGGGGAAAACAGGTGGAGGAAGGAGTATTAGGTATGTTCACCGCCTTGAGTTATTTATAAAAATAATACAGGCAGATAAAAAAAAATAGAAGGATTTATAGGAGCTTCTTAATAGAGCTCTACATATTTAAACATGCTAGCCTTTTTTCATTGATTATTTTATTTGACTCACATCCCTTCCATTAAGTCCAGTGAAAAACTGATATCCAAGGCAAACCACACCAAAAAAAGCTTTTAAAATTTGTATTTGAAAAGTTGTTTACATGTTGTACAGGCAGCTCCTATTGAGGAAAACGCTAGATCTAAAGTCCCCTTGGGCATGCAGAATCCTTTGCTCCTAGGCACTGCCTCAGAACTTGGTAACATTCCAACACTAAGACAAAAAGGGGTAATAATGGGACTATTTTGTCAGTATAAAGTATGTTAAACTTTTTTTTTAAATCTCAATATTCTATACATACAAAAATGTTTAATAAAGTTACTGAATGGCTTTCAGTTCAGTAATAAAATCTACATAAATTACAAGATGCATGTATTAAACTAAAAAAGAAGAACCTTTTCACATGTATTAAAGATTTCTTAACAGAGATTATTAACCCATCACTGCCATGTCTTGAATTAAATTCCATATATTATTGCTTATAGAGAGACAAATATTCAGAGATTGAGGTTTTTCACTTAAATCTTTAAGTGAAAGATTCATGAAAAATCATTCCTACTAAATTAGTAAGCAAGGAGAATACAAGAGAAAATAAAATTCAGCAAAACATATATGTATATCCCAACACTGAAAGCAGAAGAAAAGAATACAAACCTGAATTTCTATGTGACGAGGATTATCAATAAACTTTTCTATTAATAACCGATCATCGCCAAAACTTGAAGCAGCTTCTTGAGATGAAAACCTGAAACCTTCCCTTTAAGATAAAGCAAAGAAATCCAGTTGGAAATGTGGATAACATATTATCTTTGGTTAATAAAAGTCTAAGGATCTCTGCAGGTACAAATAGTTTTGGATTAAGAGGCCTCCACTACTGAAAGTAGCGGGTACATTTTCATTTTATAGGTATAAATGCCATGATTCATAAGTACAGTGGTACCTCTAGTTACGAACTTAATCCATTCCGTGACTCTGGTTGCAACTG